TTTACTTTTACAGACTCAAGGTAGTATGATAAATATAATGGAAAAGCAACAGGTTTGAAATTAAACTTGGTTATTGACTTGTAAGTGAAAGACAGTTCTATTGGTGAAAAAAGGTGGTAGCTTTTAGGGTCACTGGTTACTTTTGGATGCATAATTAGATCTAGAGTTCAAATAGGCTCTAGGTTAAGAACTGATGCATTGCAGGTTGGCTTGTGGACACTAAGCTGTTTTACTTTCTCTGGAAACTACTATTTTGAAAGCATGCGTGGTGTGAGTTATGTCTGCTTCTGAAGAAAAGGAACAGTCTTTCCCATAGCCTCAGAAAGCCTTAGGGGTCAAGGCTGGTGAAAGTCAGCCAGATACACCCAAAATGCTGCAAAGCTCATTGCTGATCTTGACACCTCATCTACAGAGGGGTTCAAGGCTTGTTGTCATCTGTACTTCTGGAGTACTGAAAGACAGTAGAACACCTACTGAAATAGTTCTTCGTACCTCAAGTTCATCCTGTCCAACCACCAAAGAGAATGATTCTGCTTAGTTTGTCAATACACCTAGTAATTAATCGCAGTACTGTTGAATGAACTCTACATTTTTATTTCTCCATTGCTTTTTTTCCACAAGATTGCTTCAGCAGATGCTGGCACTATCACTTATTTTGTGATTATTTAGAAATAGTGAAGAGTGAACAGAGCTGTAATTCTTGCCCATTCAAATTCAGAAGTTGGCCTGTAGCCCTAACTTCTTCCTTTGGATCTCGTCAGGGCTTTTATAAACTAAACTGGAGAGAGAATTGGCACTTTAGTGTTTCCAGGGCTTGTTAACATCTTATTTTTATGGATTCAAACGTGCTACACATACGTTTCAAGGGAGAGTTATGGTCTCACTGCTTGCAGTGGAAGATTGCAAAGAGAAGCAGATGCAGTCGTATTAGTAATTTACTGAGTGGTTCTTTGCCACGTGTCTTGGTATTAAATCAATGTATAGATATCTACTTGCAGTAGATAACATTGTTGGGATGAAGCTAAAGTGCAAGCACCTGGCTAACCTAGGTCAGTTAAAACAGATAACTATGTTCTTCATGACGTTTTTGCTGAATTACATAGGTACAGTGTGGTTTTGAAATAAACTTGTCATGTAACGCTTCTAGTTAGTGCCTTCCGTAACCTACTATTTCCTAACTTTTTTGAATTGCTATTCACTAAATTTATAAGTGGAAGTGGGGTCATTTGATTATTAAGTTTGTTCATCCAGTACTTCATATTATAATACCCTGCTTTGTCTTGCTGTAACTTTAACAAAATAATAACTGCTTGGATTGAATTGTCCAAGCCTGGTCTCAGGCTGATTTCTTTTTTAAGACATTTAGCCAAAAGTGCTCATTTGCGTCCAAGAATGAGTCAATTCAATAATCTCCCTGATTAAAAAAGAAACCATCCAAAAAAACCTACAAAAAATGCAAAACACCAATGAACAACCCCCAAAAAACAAACCTAAACTCTACAGAATTGAGGAAAACCTACCTAAAGCTATGAATGGACTTGGCCTTCAGTTGTTCCTTTGAAATCTGCTCATATTTAGCAAAACAGTACCTCTGTGAAAAATTGCAGTTCACATATTTTTAGTGGTGATGACTTCTGTGTCAGCTGTTAAATTCCCCCAAGGCTCCATTTGAGCATATTGGAAGGTTTTCCCTGCCAAACCGCAGCATTCAGCAGAAGCAAGATGTGTTGGATCTGGTTAACAGGCAGAAGGGCAATACTGTAGGGGGGCTCTTCCCCCTGCAAAATGGGCTGTGGGGCTGAGCATGGAGAGTGCTGTGAGCTGGGAATGGACAGGGGGTCAGGTGTGGTGGGGTGGGAGATGCTGTGAAAAATGGGCGAGGAAGTGCTACTTGAACCACAGGGTAACTGGAACTGGGTAAGAGGTAGGGGTAGAATAGCACTGGCAAAGGACTGGTTCATGTTGGGAGTGGAGGAGCTGGGCAGTAGAGCCAAGAGAAAGAACTGAAGCAAAACTGAGATGAGACTCTGCCCCGTTGCAGGCATGCGCACGCATCCTGGGGCCCTAGAATGCTGCCTTGGAAAGCTGGATTCTACCTGTGTTGTTCCTATGGGGTTCTTAAGATGCTAGGCAAGGAAATGAGGCAGTTTATTTCTTGGAAATCAACCCTTGTTGCCTGTTTTCTTCTTTATGGGTACACAGCATAACAGTGAGATTTGAGTGACACACGAAGCACTCATGGATGCTGCTTAAGTCTCTAGGACCTGAGCCTTGGAAATATAAGGATGTAACAATAAGAATTGAATGAGTCATTGACATCTCAAACTGATTGTCAGTAAACACACTCATTATGAATCATTCAGGAGCTAAAATCAACAACAGCAAAGCCCAGTGTGTGTTCCTTGAGTAGCCACATGTATGTGAGGTCAAAATTAAAAACATGGGAGCCAGGACTGCTCTACAATAATTTCAGGTTTGGCAAAATATGAAAGAAATACACTGCATAAAATTACCATGGAATAAAATTTATCCAAACATCAAGATGGAATACTGATTGGAGCAGACGCTTTGGGGAATTCATATTTTTTTCTTTTCTTGGTTTTTGTTTATTTTTGTTTTCACTGATACCAGCAAAAAAAATTCCATCACTTGTGCACCGCATTTGTGCAGGGCACATTTATTGCTAGGCAGCCAATGATGTCACTTATATGGGGGTTACTGAATTTGCATTAGGTTTAGCTTAGCGATCATGAGTGAAAATAGTCACACCAGTGTCATAACAGGACTTCGGTGCAGACTGGGAATATATTTTGATTGCTATCAACTCCAAAATCCATACTGCTGCATCTCTGCGGGGGTTGCTATTTGAACTGACCCAATTCAAGTTAGTGAAGGTCTAACCACACAGTATACAATGGAAGTTAACTTGAAGTCTCCAAATGGTTTAAAAGGCTTTTGGTATGCCTTGTGCAGAGAGATACTATTGATAGTTCATATGAGCAGGATGGTACTATTTCGTGCCTGAATGTCACGAGTTAAAAGTCAAAGGGCAAAGCGTCCATCTCCCTTAAAGCCAGTGGAAGTTTTGCCGTTAACTTCAACAAATCTAGGATTTCTCCTTAAATTCTGTAGCCTTGGTTCTTGGAGAGGAAGGACTTGCATTGTACTTTTACTTCTTGTGGCTTCAACAGGACTCTGTATTCCAAGAGTTTTTAAGTTATCTTTTATTTATGCTGATTGTGTTTCGTGGGAAACTAAATTGAAAGTGTATTTAAGGGCCCCAGAGACCTGCTCTGATGAACTACATCAGGAGAATATGAACATCTGCTTGATGCTCGGGCACAGCTTTAGCAGAACTCCTAATCGTTCAAAAGAAATTGTAGAAAATCTGTTTGCTTTTAAGTTTCAAACTTCATTGCTCAAAATTTAAATTTTAATGTCCTTACATACAAATGAAAAAAAGTAGAAAACTCAATACAAAATATTTACCACCTAGGCAGAAAATGTATAAAAGAGGAAGGGAAGGAAAATCACGCATTTTTGCAGTTTTACACAAAGGAAAATTAAAAACTGCATTCTGGAATATAACAAAAATGTGTATTATATTAACATGAAGATGTTTTAACAGTGATTGTGTGGTCTTAACAAACACCTCTTTTTATCAGTTGTATTTCACATGTAAAATGAAATGGACTTTATAGTAAATAGATTATTTTTTTAAAAAATTTAAATTAACAATTTTGTACTATCAGGAAAACGTACAGAATTTGTGTGGAAATCCGTGTACTATGTTTACTCAAATAAAGGTAATACTTAGCTGCAAACTTTTAAATATAATAAAATGCATTTAATAGCAATCTTTTGTGGTATCATTGTTATTCATGGGCATAACATTCAAAGTACGGAAATGCAGTTATGGGTCAAAATGACCATAAAAACAGTAACCCAAAGAACCTTATAAATGTGTCAACACCCATCATTTATCACAGATGGCTCATACCAATGTAAAAAAACATAAAATGCAGTATAATTCTCAACATATGGTTTACTTTGTTGCATTGTTCCTACATATTATTTGTGTTAAAATCCAGGAAATTATATTATGAAGAGAATATTAGTTTTTGTTTATTAAACTAAAGTACAGATTAAAGTCATTCTTTTCTTGTGATGAACATATACCAACAGTGATTAAAAAATAAACATTTATTTACAAAATATTGATGCATACATATTACACAAGTCAGTTAAATCAAAGTGGTTTTTTAAACAATATCTGTAGCAACCAACTATTTGTATTGGTTTATCATAGTGCAAACGGTAATGTTGCAAAGGCAGGTTATGATGTGGGATTACGGCTTGAATGTCAGACTTCTCTGCTGCCTTTTGTTTTGCTACGTATAGAAAACTACTCCCTTTCATTAAAAAATATCTATTTCTAGCGAATGTTGAATAGTGTACCTGAGGATAGGGCAAATTCATTATTAGTCTAAATTCTTTCACTTAGATAACTATCTTTCTATTCACTCAGCCTGCTTACGTAGCACCATTGCCATTGATTACTAGCATACTAATGAGAAAAAGGAATGGAAACACACTAAATACACTACGCCATCCCTAATTTCAGGATTTCTCCATTTATGTGGAATTTCATCTGATACATTTCACAATTCTGCACTATATATTCAAGTGTTTAAGGATGATTCTGGTGGTATTGTGTAGTGGTGTATATGTTACCAGTATATATTTTACTGTAAATACAATATTAAGTGAAGCTGTGAAGAAATGGACTTAAAAGCCCACTCCTTCCATCCTCAGATGAGAAGGAGCTTGCTTTTGATTACCAACATGTACTGAAACCTGCATATAAATTTACGTCTGAATGACAGAATATTGATTCCCTCACGATGTAAGAACTTCATGTGTTAAATCCTGTGATTTTGATCGTAGCTTTTCTGTTTCACTGGCTCAAAGCCAGCCGTCAGGTAAATATATTGTCCTTTAGTTCACATTCTGTAGCTGGTGCTGCACTAAATCTGTACGATAGCCTATCATACAGATACAGGATGTCGGCAATGCCTAGCGTACGTAACTTCACAGTTTCAAAGACTGATGTGGGGGTATAACTTTTTTTTTTGGTAGCTTCCACAATTTATGAAGTGGTGGATCTAACGATGATCTCATGAGCACCCGCAGCGATCTACTACCATGGCCGGTATCTTGCCGTATATTATTTGTTCTTTCCCGTTGAAGTACAGCATGTTTATGGGGGACATCTTGGTGGGCGTGCAGCAGGGGCCTGCTGAACCTCTGGGGTTTGCTTGGTGTACGAGGTGAGTGTGCGGGTATTTTTGTAAAAACACAAATTCACATTCTCCGGAGCAGTAATTTGCTTTGTATCTTTTAGGTGCGATAATCCAGTCCCATCCAAAAGCTTCGAAATCCACTGTCAGTGGGTAGCGACAACATCGGGATTCTGTTGAGTGCTCATCGCAGTCGAGGCCAAAATCTCTGCGGGACCGTTTTGGTGTGTCTGTAACTCTGACCTCTAAAAATGGGTTCTGTGAGGAGAGGAGAAGGAATTGGAAGCATTACTGAGGTAAGCCTCTGTTCGGCAAAAACATACAAATAATATTTCAGACATAGATGTATCCAATTAATATTCCCAAATCGTGTTTGGAAACAAAACGTTGTCCTCCTGCAAATCTCTGCTATGGTTGATCTCTGCTCAAGGATTATTCCTGAGCTGATTTTCATGCTGATGACCAGCATTATTCATGCTGATGACCAGCATTTCCCTGCTGTTTCTCTATAAAGACCTTTAATTCCTGAGTATCTGTTCCTGAAATCACCAATATCTCAGTGCTAGCATCATTCCTGTTAACTGCTACAAGGATGTTTCAGAAATTTGGAGGATGCTGAATTTTTACTTTTGATGTGGGTTTTGTCTGTTTTAAACTCCATAATAAGAGCTACTTTTTTTTTTTTCTATAGAAGAGTTCCCAAAAGAAAACAAGTAACTCCAAAAACGTTTAAAGGGCAGGACCAACTCGTGTTGGTCTCCCTTTGGTGAGTCCTTCTGAAATTCCCTTCATTAAAATCGTGTAGAGTTCAGGCTTTCTGGACATCAAGGAAGGCTTCTTGACCAGACCAAGAAGGACAAAATTTGGTCTGTACGTGCTGTGGTGCTTGAATGACTGCAATGGTAGTAGAAGTTAGTATTTCACTTGGTAGCACAGGTTACTTGTACTTCGCAGCTTTTCCCTCTGCCAGAGGGCTGAATTTGCTGTCCTGTATTTGGAGGAGCAGCTAATATTTTGACTCCTGAAAGAGCCCTGTGGCCAGCAATATACTTTTGGCAGATATCCGAGCCACGTGCCTCCTACCAAAGGTGTGTTTTCACGGTCACCAACTGAGAAGAAATGGCAACCTTCACAATCACCGGTTTGAAAAAGTTCCCAAAGTTTCCTCCCTTCCATGCACTGATTTCAGCCCTGTGTGTTGGTTTGGCACTGACTGGGCTGTCCCATGAAGGAAGAACATTGCTTAGGAGTAAATAACAGCTCGGCTGACTTTGTTACGTGGGTTTGTCCCTTCCAAGGCACCCGTCTTGACGGCTGCAAGCTGTCCAGCTGCTGGAGATGCTCCTCCCAAAGGTAAATGATATGGGGAGGGGCTTGGTTAGAGGAGCATCCCCATACCAAGAGCTGCTGGAGAGGAGCCAGAGGGAAGAGGAGTTTCCTCTCCCATTATCAGCTATGCATCTAACCCTGCCCTGCTGCTGCATAGGTTTGTTTTTATGGATGATGATAACCATGGGTTACCCACGTGTGTGAAAACATAGCATCGGGTATTTGAATGGATGGAGGTGGTGAGGACGTTCCTTATCATGATATCCAGCTGGTCTGTTTCAAGTATGGGAGATGCACATCTATGCTGGATCTACAATTAAGATATCACAGTGTTTTGCCTTGAAGTTCTTTTAACTGCATTATACTACTATGAAGTTAAATGTTACATAGCTACATATATACAGTTGGACTCAATGATCTTAAAGGTCTTTACCAACCTAAACGATTTTATGATAGATTGATCTACTGCATAGAAGTAAAAGTAAAATAGTATTTTTTACATTTTATTCAAAATGAGGGATTTCTTGGTTGTGATTGTTTCAGCTGTGACAGGTTCAGGAATTTTTATAGGGTGTAAATGATTGGTGATTTGCAGAAACAAATAACAAAGAAAATGCTGTAGTTTAACTGCTACGCTTCAGGTTTAATTTGTTCGTCTATACTTACAAACAGAAACCAGATAGTTATTTTACGCTCTTTCTCATCATTGTGACTCATTTATTGTATTGAGCAGAATTTCTCTATTCAAACATTTCTAATAGGTGGAATGATGCACTTTATCACATACTGAAAGGTACAGAACATAACATTATGAAGAAGATCTTTCTAATCTTCATAAACACAGGTAATTCTTGCTGTTGTTAATAGAAAAGATATGCATACAGAGTAGGGAGAAACTCCCTCGCTTTCTCAGCAGTATCGGAGGAAATTTTCCTATCAATGGAAGAATCTAACGACTATTGTTTTAGCTTTATGTACAACAACTGCTTATTAAGAAAAATTTGCTCTCAAATTTGAAAACAATGTTCCTTTGATAGTACCATCCATCAGTAACCACCAAAACATTTTCTAGTTAATGTCTCTCAACAGGAGTACTGTAATTTGTCTCAATTTTTCAAATAGGGAAACAGAGGCACAGGAATGCTATTGATTTTGACATGATCAGAGAGCAAAGAATGGAAGAACTTTTGGATATACAGAACTTTTATCTTCCATTCCTATATACAGTTCTGAACTATACACAATTTTGGATGTACAGAACTTTTATCTTCTATTCCCTAAACAATGCTCCCATTTTACCCTTAAAACACAACTTAAATGCTTTCCAATAAAATGCAAGATATTTGAACATTAAATTTTTCTAAATAAACTTACCAATCCATCTTCACCCGGTCCTGGGAAAGTTACAGCAAGATCTCGTCCATTCTCATCAAAAGCTTTTATTTCGATGCCTAAATTGGATTCAGGCTGTTTGAGCCAATTTTGCAACACTGTCTTCACGTCAATACTCTGCCAAATACCAGTGCCTGGGTTCATGTCAAGTTTCAAAGATCGAATTCCAGTGTATCTTGTACCATCTTTCATGGGCTTAATAAGTCTCAGTATCTGCACAAACACTGTTGTAGGTTTTTGGACTTGCCTCAAGTATATCCACAATTGTGCTTTTACTACTTTGTTATATTGTATTTTAGAGCTAAACTTAAAGAAGCAACATTTTGGTTTTCCCTCCATTTGTACAAGAAAATCAGCTATAAATGAATGGAAAGAACAGATTACTGAACAGCGAACAAAAAGAAATATGCATATATAAACCCGATCTTTTTTTTTTTTCCAGACCATATAGGAAGTCTTACAATATGTTATAAGCAGTACCAGTAACAAAGTGGATTTAACTTAATTAATTTGCTGTGGTTTATGCTCTATAGCAAATGTAATGGATATCAACAAAATCATTATGCTGTCCCCTAAAAATTAAATCATGTGACAAGGAACCAACAATCATTTTGTAAACAGGCTAAAATGAGGTTTGGCTAATTGTTTGCTAAATAATTCTCATTGGTGCCTGTGCTCCATAGGCTAAGCAGAGCACAGGCTGAAATGATGGGCAGTCATGAGAAGATGCATGCTGTGGAGGACCTCTGCGGTCCTTGGCGTACTCGGGGTTCTGGCCAGTGGTACCAGTGCTGTGGGCTGCCCTGTACAACTGCAAAAAAGCCTCTTTCCCAAACAAAAATTACCTGGGGAGAGGGGACAGCCTATTCCACTTCACAGGGACTACTACCAACTCACTTCTGTGAGTCGTCTCCTGAAGACCTTCACGAAGCACACAGAATAGCACCTGCATAAGCCAACTCAATATGTGTGTGGTATTCTAGCTATTTCTAATTTACTAAATATCCTCAGCATGCTGCACATCACACAAACAGAGGCAGCCATGGGCCAACTACGTGAAGAGGTTAATTTCTTTTCTTAATGGGAAAACAAAATAATCAAGAGAATCTAAAGATCATTTTGTTTTCATTTGAACAATATTATAGGAAAGTCACGTGCAGTGCTGCGTTCCTCCTTCCTGTAGCCTATGATGCAGCTGTCATACCTAGTCACGGCAATATCTTTCCATGCCAGGATAAAATGGGTAATGCTAATCTTAAATGGTGCAGGGCTTTGACATTCTTAAATCTCACTACTTAAGATACCTGTCTTTTTAGTGCGTTTAAAATAGTGCAAGGGCTTTTTATAAAAAGTAGGAAATTAACTCGGATCAATGAAGTACAATGACTTTTCTTTGGTCACTGTAATTATATAACAGTTTAATTAAAAATTGTTATAAAGCCTTGGCAGTAACAGGCTGGAATAAAACTGCTGGCAGACCTCAACTTTGTGATAAGGCTGCAGTAATAAATTGCCATTTAGTACACATCTTATTAATTAATAAGTTGAAAATGTTACAGATAAAATTGCTTTTTCATTGATGAGTACATTTTTAGCCGCCTAGAGCAGCTGATATTATTCTAGTACATGTATTGTAACGATATCTGTAACTGCTACCATGCCTTATATGTCCTGTCATCTTTTTCCTTTTTGACATCATATTTATAAGTGTTATTTAAAAAAACAGCTGCCATAGCCAAATACTTTAGCTGATGAAGAACATAGGATACCATAGTATTAGCTGTGCAAAAGATACTTGATAGGAGCCATAGCAGATGTTTAGCACTCAGAAGATAACTCAGAATCTGCTCATTCAGTAAATGCCTTCATTCCTCTTTGGCACGACTACTGGAGCTGATTGCTATAGCATGGACATTTTAACATTTAAATCTGTTACACACATATTTGCTTTAAATATATAGTTTTAACTCAGAGGTAGGTGGTGCTAGTTTATGGGATCAGCAAAGAAGCAAGAATTTAACTCTATGCTTGCACTTGCTGTATAACATGTTGCAGTTAGGTAGGTCTAGTGCTCTAAGCTGTATTTCTGCTGATTTCTGTTGCTCCTAAAAATACTGGCCAGTGAAACCTCCCTCAGAAAAATATAGTTATCTCATTAGCTGCACCTGTACTTTATATTTGTGATAGTAAATGCCCCGAGTACTGCAGATAACAAAGTCAACTAAACTGCAGATCTCCCTTTGCTTTCTAAAGCAATGGGCAAATCCTAAGTGCTACAGGACACACACGTTATAAGGAGCCGAAAACTGAACAGTAAAACAAAGGATCGCAACACGGTCATTTGAACCTGGCTCAAATTCTTTAGAAATAACGCTCTCCTCCCTCCCTCTAGCAGACCTCAGCCAGCAGCCTGTTGGGAGAGCCCGAGGAGGAGTTGCGTGGCTCTACAGCAGGGAGACAACTCTCTCGGAGGAGCGGTGGGAGGCGAAAGCAGCAGAGTTACTTACACTCCGTAGGCATTGTGATAATCGTTTCGGTGGTGGCATGATAGTCATCATCTTCCAAAGAGCCATCGCTACTGTCGTCTCTCTGGACGTCATACTGATCAATCAGTTCCTGTAGTGGAGGAGCTTTGGGTAAAAGTTGTTTAATAACATCCCTGCTAATGTTAGGAGCTTGTTCCAGACGCAGTTTGCTGAGGATTTGAATTTTTATGGCTTCTATTCTGGAAGATTTTGTATTCTGTCTCCACGTACAAGCATTGCACAGTCCATCTTTTTCAGCATTCTCTGTGGGCTGACTACTGTCATCAAGAGCCACCGGATCAACTGAAATCAGCATGAACAGGTAAATATAAACATAGATCACTAGCTTTTGCATGATCTCGCATGCAGTGCAGCGCTTTTCCCTTTCTTTTTTTTTTTTTTTTTTCCCTCCCCCTTTCCCTTTCAGTACTAAACAGATCCGTGAAAGCAAATGCAATCTGAGAGACAGCTTGCCACACTGGTGTACCTTATATATTCCAAGGGGGCTTTTTATACTCCAACTTTGATTAGGCTCGTGTCGTCAAACCCGATGATTGGTTGCTGTCCCAACAATGAATCTGGCTGTCAGAGGGTAAAGCCCTGTCAATCAGAAGTCACTAGACAGCATTTAGTTACAGCCAAGGGTGAACTGATTTATCTGGGTCCTTCGTAGAGGATATGTCTTCGCATACTGAAAGGATATATTTCCAAGTATTGTGGGCAGCAGTACTGAAAGACAGCACTGTCATTCTTAAATATATACCAACAGTGTACTTGCAGTATGAATCAAGACAGATCTCTCTGTAAACTTGCTTTAGGCTTCTACCAGGTTTTTTGATTTGAAAGTTTATGCTATTTAAAAGAAAATCCCAGGGGACTGCAGTTAGCAGGCAGGGAGAAAAATACTTTAGAAATGCATTGCAAAGAGTGCTAACTTACGTTGTTCAACAACTAAAATACATTGAGCAGTTCATATTTCAGAAAATCTTAATGGCTTTTCCTGCTAGGTACTAGCCAAAGCAGTAATAAAGATTTTGTACATATATGACTCTATGTCAATGCATCTCTTACCTGTTTGTCCCTTTAGTGTATATCAAAATCAACAGAACAAATCCTTTACTGAATTAACAGTCAATTATGAACAGTGGGTCTGGCCCCTCTTCATCCTATCACTAGGTCAGCAAAATCCTGAGCAGTAAATTAAATACTGAGAGATCTTCAGTAGCAAAGGTATTTTTAACGAATACCTTTAGCTCCTCTAATATTACACAGAAATAACAAAGCTCGCTTTTTCCATTAGTAGTGACAGTATTAAAAGACTTAAAACATTCAAGTCTATACTGTGAGTATATCTTCCTTTTCCATGTCATCTTTTATTTCTGTTCAAAATGCCTCTGTATTATGCCAATTGAAGCGATACCTTTCTGTGCTTCCCTTTGCTTTCTACTCAAATATTTGTAAGTTCTCTATATACATTACAGTTTTAATATGCTTTCTGCATGAGAGAGATACATCTAAACATGATTTTACACTTATAGGTTATGTCTTGTAAAAATCGTACAGCAATGTAGTTCACGTGTGATGTGCTGTTAGCAAGAATTATGGAATTCACGCTCAGCTGAGGAGGTGGGGGGGCTGGGGGGGTTACTGTTCAGCATAGGCTGTATATTACAGCAAGCAGAGATCCTGGAATTTATATATGTTGTCTATATTTGTATATTTGGAATCAGTATATTACAGCAAACAGAAATCCTGGAATTTCATGCAATATGCCAAAGTTTGCCTATCTATGTTAGGACTGAATTGTCAGTTTCTCATTGTGTTTCTCTTCTTTTTCCATTCTGAGTAGACATAAAATGGCAAACGGGGTTTTTTTGCATATGTTGATGTAGGAAAAATCTTGGTATATAGAAAGATGTAGGACAGAACTTTCAAAGAGCTTTTTTCTTCCTGGTCATTCATTTTATTTTGTGTCATCTCTTCAGGGCATGCAAATTCAGCTTATGACCAGTGATGTAAATCATGAGTATTCCATTGAAATTGATTGTCCTACTGATTGAAATTGGTGTAAAGTTGACGCAAGCGACAGATAAATCACACTCGCCCATTCCAGGCCTATGCCTTAGGGTCAGACACTGATATTCTGATCTCAGCCAAAATCCATGTTTAAAGCAAGCAGTTTGACTTCTTAGCTCCTGAGCATTTGCTTTTTTTACACAAGACACTGGTGCAGCTACTCTCAACATGTGGTAACGTCAATGGGCTCGTGGTTCACTGAAACTGGAAGTCAGGATAGATCAGAGTTTGCAGTGGAGACTGCCTGCCATGCCTATAACACATTTTAAACAGACTCTTAGTGCATTTCAAGTGCTGGAAAAGTGTTCTTACAGAAGATGCATAAGATGATTCACAGTGAGGATCTTTTTGAAAAGCACTGACCCTGTTGGTGAATTTTTTTGGGGGGTTAGGTTTGGGGGTTTTGTTTGTTTGTTTGTTTGCTCTTATGACAGTGAATGTATAATTAAACTATTTTTTATTATTTTTTATTTTAAACTAGAATGAAGTAACCAGTTGGGTATAAAAAGGAATCTATCCCCAAGTGGAAACCTTGACAGGTACTAGGTTTCACACTAGAAACAGTTTTAAAGAGAACAATTATCCATCAATAAACAGATGGAAATAATGATGCAGTCATTAATATCAGAGTAATTAAATGTTCTGGCAGACTGCGGCTCTAAGCCACTCATGTTGGAGAGGGGACAGCAAAGCAATGCCTCCAGCACCGTGGTTCCTATTTGAACTTGCTCTGCAGCAGCTTGCCCGGTGCTCAGCAGCTGCACTGGTACCTGGCCTGCTCCTTCTCCTTCAAGGTCTTCCCACTCTGCCTGTGGCTTGCCATGAGCATGCAGAACATCAATTTATTTTATCCAGTCTTCTGCCACAATTCCATTGATCTGCAAAAAAGGGCCCCTTTAGCATTTCTTCATGACTGCATGACCAAAGTCCTCTCTTGTATGCCTGAATCCCCTCAGTGAGCTCTGAGCAAGAGCTGAGCTTGCTCTCAGCCACCAAGGTGACACATGATGGCAAACATATCCTGCTGAGCCTTGTGCTTCTGCTTGCTGTTTAGGAGTAGGAGGCAGCAACAGCAGCTAGAGTGGTGGCATAGGGACTACCGACCACGGATGATAAAAGTGTCCCAGAATTCACCAGCAGCTGCATAACCAAGAGCAATATTTTTCTAATATTTTCCTCATAAAATGCGCTTTATATCCACATACTCTGAATAATCCTAGGCTGTTAGTAGAATACCTTTCTCTTCATCTTTTGTTGTTGCCATCTGTTTCTTTTCTATGAGACTGCAAGAATTTGGAAGAGAGCTTAAACAGTTGTGCTTGATCAGGAGCTACTGAAGTATGTAATTTCTTTAATAAGAATAATACAATATGCAAACTGTTTTTCTTTCTGACTTTCATTGTAGTGTTTTTGGAAAGTGGTGACTACAGAAGTAGGTGACAGAGGCGAGAAAATTAAGTGATAAAGTGACCAGGTAAAAGTTGTTCCAAAAATTGATTTGGCAAAAAATAATAGTTTAAAAAAAACCCAAACCACATATTACCACCAGCAAAATTAAAGAAGAGTTAAAAATGAAATGCACATCTTACTGAACTTTATGGTATTTTAATATTATCTTTGGGATTTGTGTCATTCTACCCGCCGTGCCTGCCAATAGTGAATAGTATTCCCAATCCTAGTTATTCAAAGATTATGGCTCAGGCCCCCAAAATCAAGCACCGTAAGAATGTGTTCCTTTCTAAAGGAAAAAGTCACACATCTGTCTACCTGTCAAATTCCTCTCTCCTCTTCCCCTTCCCCCAAGAGCTTTTGCACTTGTTGGAAAAACCTTAAAAAAAGAAGGGGAAAAAAAAAAATCTACCCCCAACAAATTTGACCAATATAGAGGTTTCAAAGATACTGTGTTACTGTGAGTTTTATGGAAAAACAGTGACTGTGTAGAGGAAAAGGAGATTACTAATGCCCTCCCTGAGGAGAAGGCAAACGGAGCCCAACCATTACCCATCCTTTTTGGCAGCCTCTAATTAGCCAATCAGCTTGTGCTTCTCCGTCATTAGTCAGCATGCTGATAGCTCTGGACCATCTACAGCGTGTCATCTCTTGCCGGGCCAGCAATCCAGAAAAAATAGATAGGGAGCAGGATGGGATTTGAGCTTGTTTTGGAGGTGGACCAAGTGGACATGGAAGGGAACCAGGATGTTTCTGAGAAAAGGGAGAGTTACAGGGGTATAAAGGAGCTGCTTTCATGGCAGGGACGGAGAGGGACATGGGTTATAACGCTGCCAGAAATTGTACAACTTCATCCTGTTGGAGGCTAGATTTCCAAACAGTTCCTTACAGCCTGCAGGACCAGAAATTCACTTCTCCTTTTTCTGTTAAGCTAAATGAAATAGTTCCCATAATTGATTCATCTCAGAAGGCAGAACAAAGAAAAAATCAGGTGGTGTGAAATGCACTGTAGATCTGTGATTGCTGTTTACACTGATGTCCAGTCCTACCTCTGAACCAGCTGGCTTCTCTCTCTGGTTTGTCTTATAAGGAAGATACATCAGTCCTCCTGAGCTGCTGAGGAAGATACTCTGAGTCACCTTTTCTCTCACTTCTTGTCAGCACAAAGTCTAATTTCTAGAGTAGCATATTGAAATGGATAGAAAATTCCATTTTAAATATTTTTGGACTGAGCTGCAATAAGCTGGGAATCATGTTTGTGAAGTAATTTTGGTTGGAACAGTTATATGTGAATAGAAAAATTCAGACATATAATTAAATGCAATAGAGTTAGACTGTCTTAAGTGCTTAACAGTGAGCCCAGCTGTCTTAACTCACCAGATGCTTGCTCTTAGCCACCTGAATTGCAAGATAATTGCATTACTTTGAACCTCAGAAGGTCATGTCTGTAAAATACCTATAAAGAAATCTCGCAATAATGAAAAGCCTATGAAAATATCTTCCCATTCACATTATGTAAACTAAAGCTGCAGCTGCTATAAGGCAAAAGTAACCACTCTTAAAATTAAACTTATTACCTTGAACTAAAATATGAAAGCTGTAACTAGTGTGAATTCTTGTTCTGTAACAAATGCCCTGAAACAGTTTGTCCTTTGCTATACTTTTTTTTTTTAAAAGAGTAGTCATATACAACTTCCTAAACATTGTGCTGTGTCAGCTACTGGAAGTCAACTTTATTTCTTTATTTTGATGGTATGGACATTTAATTCCTTCAACTTACCAAAAAAGAAGTAAGTTCATCTTGTTTTCACCAGTTTTGAGTTCCAGGTAT